CAAGGCCTGGTAAAATAAACTGAAGCGTCTGCTTAAAATCTCCCCATCAAACATGTTCTGCTGGTATAGAAAAATCACTCTTTTGTGCTCCCTCACCAAACCTGTGATTGTGGAAATTGCTTTCAGGTGGCTATTTTACGCCACCAGTATTTTCTCTCTTCTCCCTCTCTATTAGGTACATGAATGTTTATGGATGAAGCCCCACAATTAGTTTCAGGGCCACAAGCAGAGCAGAAGTGCATTTTGTAGTGCAGTCAGTGCAGAAACAGGGCTGGTTTAAGTCAACTATGCCCGAAGCGAAAGGTCTAAATAGCAGAACTCTTACTCTTTGTGGTCAAAACTAGAAAATAGCATCCCATGAAAGAAAGGGTTGTATCCTAACAGGAGCAGTGGAAAGCACTGATCTGTCTAGCTCAGGATTGTGTTCTCTGGCTGGCAGCGTTTCTCCAAAATTCTGATCATTGTCTTTCTCAGGCCTGCCAGGGAAGTGAACATGAGACTGCTCCACTTTAGCAGATGCTCTGTCTTCCGAGGAGGCATTTTTTGCTTTCTAGGAGAATTCCCTTGCTGGTTGACAGGAAGTCTTTCCTCAGGAAGCTACTGAGATCATATTCCCTTTCCCATCCTTGCTGCTCAGAGTCAGAGGCTGATAGGCACAGGTCTGTGGGAACAACTTGGATCATCTAATTTTTCCCATCCAGTAAGAAAGGGCTCAGTTTGACTTTAAGCTCTGCAAGTCTCTGCTGACATACAGGAGAAAGGAGTTGCTTGTTTTGGTCTTTTGAAAGGAAAGTCATTTCCTGCATTGGAGGAACTTATTATGTTAATTGCTATTTAAAAATGACCATATTTCTACATTTCGCCAGATACATAAGGAACAAAAAAAAGTAAGACTCAGCCTGCAAAAAAATGCAGTGTTTCTATGGGTGGTGGCTGCATCCGTCAATTACACTAAAATTAAAATAATTGCAAAAATGAGTGGAATCTTGCAAGATTGCCAAATCTTATGCAAATTCTTGTGGAAGTTCATCATTTCCATGCAAACTTGAGGTGAGATTACTGAAATATTCTGAAAAGCTGGGAGGTTTTTGTTGAGAGGGGTGTCTTGGCTATGAGATGGTGGCCATGGAAGACGAATACATCAGAATTAAGTTTCCTTTTAGCAGATTTGTGTTTATGATCATATGAGAACAAACTTTTTAAATTGTAAGCTGCCCAGATTCATCCTCTGGGGGAGATGGGCGGCATATAAATGTAATAATAAATAAATAAGTAATAAAAATAAATAAACTCTAATAATTCGTTTAACAAACTAATAGCAGTTCTTGTCTAGCATTCACTTTAGTTCATAGTGCCTCGTTTGCATGTAATGAGAAAGCCAGGAATTGGCCAATGTGAGATTGAATTCTTTGCTCCTGGTTTGATGGTAATGGAATTGGAGGTGTATGGCCTCCTTTCTGCTAATGCTACATTAAATATAGCATTATAAATAAACATGGTTATTATTTTGTTATAAACCAAGGTTACTTTAGCTTTATGTCTGTTCAATGATACATGTCATATTTACCTTACAACAAATCACTTGGTAAGGAGAGTGACCTAAGATTTTTCATTCAGTTTAGATAACATGAATTAAATAGAATGAAGGTACGCACAGCATCAGGTGGGTATTGCAAAAAGAGTGATTGGCCTGTTACTTTCAGGCAGACCCTGTCTGTATTTTTATTAAGTTGGCAAGACTATCTCAGCTGTGCAATGAGCAAAATCTGCTGTCAGCATTTTGTTCACAATCCCCCAATCCAGGTGTGCAAAGCTTGTCACATCATACTGAAAAAGACTCAAGGCTGTAATTGCTGCCAAAGGTGCTTCAACAAAGGACTAATATAATATAATAAGTCTGAATACTTATGCCAATGTGATATTTCAGTTTTTCCTTTTTAATAAATTTACAGACA